GCTCCATCTGCTCCTCCTCCTCCTCCTTCTCCTCCTCCTCCTCCTCCTCCTCCTCCTCCAAAACCCGAGGCCATGCGTCACCGCACGACTCCGGGATATCGGAGGCCCCGGCCGCCCAGGCGCCCGTGGAGAACGGCCCGCGCCCCAAAACCGCGAGGTCATCCCGTGTCCCCGCACGAAGGAGAGGGAGGGGCGGGAGCGGCGGCGGCTGGCCGCCGAGGCGCCCCCCACGCCGCCGACCCTCCCCGAGGGGTGGGGAGGAGGCGGAGGAGGAGGAGGAGGAAATGAGGGAGAAACAAAAAGATGAAACATGAGAAAACAAAAGAGGAGGGAGAAGGAAGCGAGAGAGGAGGCCATGGAGGAAAAGAAGGAGGAGGAGGAGGAGGAGGAGGAGGAGGGACGAGGAGGAGGAGGACGAGGAGGAGGAGGAGGAGGAGGAGGAGGAGGAGGCGGAAGAGGAGGAAGAGGAGGAGGAGAAGGAACAGGGGCAAGAGCAGGCGAGGGAGGAGGAGGAGGAGGAGGAGGAGGAGGAGGAGGAGGAGGCGAGGCAGGAGGAGGGAGAAGGAGGGAGGAGGAAAACGAGGGGGAAGGACAGGAGGGGCGGGGAGGTGTGGCCACAGCACCGCCCTGGGACGTCCGAGGTCCCCCCCCCCATCGACAGGGGCCTGAATCGCCTCGCTGGCGAACTCAGGGGAGGGCGGAGCGGCGCAAGCGGCGCGCCGTGCTCAAGCACCGCGGGGTCGCCGCCGACTCGAGGTTGGTCGGCGACTGGGCGGCGACCCCCCTCTGAGGCTCGCCTGCGCAGGGAGCGTCGGTACAGCACAGCGGTGCCATCCTGGGCCCTGGCACTGGTTGGCGTACCTCCTGGCCGAGGCCCGGGGGTCCACGGCACAGATGCTTTTCGCAGGGGTTGGCTTTCGCTGGGGCTCGTTTCGCTGGGCTTCGTTTCGCCGGGATTGCTTTCGCCGGGGTTGGCTTTCGCCAGGGTTGGCTTTCGCCGGGGTTGGATTTCGCCGGGGGTTGGCTTTTGCTGGGGTTGGCTTTCGCTGGGGTTGGCTTTCGCCGGGGTTGGCTTTCGCCGGGGTTGGCGTTCGCCGGGGCTGGTTTTCGCCAGGGATGGGCGCGGGCTCCAACGGGCGGGTCGGGTCGGGCGGGCGGACCCTGATACGGGCGGGACGGGTCGGGTCGGGTAACGGGCGGGACGGGTCGGGCGGGCGGGGCACCAAAGTGTGGGGCGCGCCGGAGCGAGCACACGTGAACCCTAACGGGCGGGTCGGATCGGGCGGGCGGACCCAAACGGGCGGGGAAGGTCGGGTCGCGTCGGGCGGACCCTAACGGGCGGGTCGGGTCGGGCGGACGGGACAGCAAATCGTGAGGCACGCGGGAGCGAGAACGCGTGAACCCTCACGGGCGGATCGGGTCGGGCAGGCGGACCCTGAAGGGCGGGCGGGACGGGTCGGGTCGGGTCGGGCGGACCCTAACGGGGGGGTCGGGTCGGGCGGGCGGGGGACCAAAAAGTGAGTCGCGCTCGAGTGAGCACGCGTGAGCCCTCACGAGCGGGTCGGGTCGGGCGGGCGGACCCCAACAGGCGGAACGGATCGGGTCGGGTCGGGCGGACCCTAACGGGCGGGTCGGGTCGGGCGGGCGGGGCACCAAAGTGTGGGTCACGCACGCGTGAACCCTAACGGGAGGGTCAGGTCGGGCAGGCGGACCCTAACAGGCGGACCCTAACGGGCGGGTCGGGTCGGGCGGGCGGGACACCAAAGTGTGAGGCGCGCTACCCTGACGGGCGGGTCGTGTCGGGCAGGCGGACCCTGACGGGCGGGTCGGGAAAGGTCGGGTCGGGTCGGACGGACCCTAACGGGCAGGTCGGGTCGGGCGGGCGGGACACTAAAGTGTGGGGCGCGCCGGAGCGAGCACGCGTGAACCCTAACGGGCGGGTCGGGTCGGGCGGGCGGATCCTAACGGGCGGGACGGGTCACGTCGGGCGGACCCTAACTTGGCGGGATCCAATGGGGGGGATAAGTCCAGATGGGGAGAGAGGCGCAACCGAGGCACAAATTGTACCTGCGCCCCACGGAGAAGGTACCATTTGTACCGACGCCACGCAGACAAGGTACAAATTGTACTTTTGACAACGTCCGCGACATGTGCGAGGATGTTAGCGGGGGGGGAGAAGGTACAATTTGTACTTGCAACCCGCAGAGAAGGTACAAATTGTACCCCAACAAAACGGTACCGGATACTCATCCCCCCATGTCGTGATCCCCCCATCGCCATCCGGCCGACTAACGGGCGAGTCGGGTCGGGCATGCGGGACACTAAAGTGTGGGGCGCGCCGGAGCGAGCACACGTGAACCTTAACGGGCGGGTTGGGTCGGTTAGGCGGGCCCCTGACGGGCAGGACGGGTCGGGTCGGGTTGGGCGGACCCTAACGGGCGGGTCGGGTCGGGCGGGCGGGGCACGAAAGTGTGGGGCGCGCCGGTACGAGCACGCGTGAACCCTGACGGGCGGGTCGGGTCGGGCGGGCGGATCCTAACGGGCGGGACGGGTCACGTCGGGCGGACCCTAACTTGGCGGGATGCAAAGGGGGGGATAAGTCCAGATGGGGAGAGAGGCACAACCGAGGCACAAATTGCACCTGCGCGTGAATCCTGACGGGCGGGACGGGTCGGGTCGCGTCGGGCGGACCCTAACGGGCGGGTCGGGTCGGGCAGGCGGGGCGCTAAAGTGCAGGGCGCGCTCGAGTGTGCACGCGTGAGCCCTCGCGCGGGGGCGGGTCGGGCGGGCGGACCCTAACGGGAGGAACGGGTCGGGTCGGGTCGGGCAAACCTTGACAGGCGGGTTGGGTCGGGCGGGCGGGACACTAAAGTGTGGGGCACGCTCGAGTGAGAACGCGTCTGGCTTTGCCAGGGTGGCACGTAGCACTGACTGGCCCTGGGCCTCAGGGGGGCCTGAGCAAGGGCGGTGTGGATGTGTAAGTTAGGCCGTCTGGGAAGAAAGCGGGGTGTTATACTTCCAGTGCTGCTGTGGAAACGCAACGGAGCTCCAGCCAACCGGCCGCGGGCAAGAGGTGCCAGAGGAGAGGAGGAAAAGGAGCAGCAGCATAAAAGGACGGGAGCGGGAGGAGGAGGGGAGGAAGAGGAGGGCGAAAACAAACCCTGGCGAAAACGATCCCAGACGAAACACCAACCCGGGCGAAAGTCAACCCTGGGTTTCAGCCAACCCGGGCGAAAGCCAACCCGGGCAAAAAACAACTCGGGCGAAAACCAACCCGGACGAAAGCCAACCCGGGCGAAAACCAACCCGGGCGAAAGACAACCGGGAATCCGGGCGAAAGCCAACCGGGCGAAAGCAAACCCGGGCGGAACGAACCGGGCGAAACGAACCGGGCGAAAACCAACCCGGGCGAAAAACATTTACGCCGTGCCACGGTGGGGCCCAGAATGGCCCGGGCCAGGCACGGCGCTGGTGTACAGATGCCCGCTGCGGATCGTCACAGAAGTGCAGGACAAGCGCTGAAGAAAATCACTTGAAACAAAATGGGACGACGACGACAACAACACCAACACCAACACCATCAACAACAGCAACAACAACAAGAGCAACAACAGCAGCAACAGCGGAAGCAACAACAAACACGATCAGCATCAACGGCAACAACAAAAACAGCAACACCACCACCAACGACAACAACAACGGCAACATCAACAACAACAACAACAACAACAACCACAACAACAGCAGCAACAACAACAGCACCACCACCACCAACAACAATAACACCAGCAGCACCAACAACAACCACAAGATCATCATAATCAGCAGCATCATCATCAGCAGCATCATCACCATGATCATCATCATCATCATCATCATCATCATCATCATCATCATCGTCATCATCATCATCATCATCATCATCATCATCTTCATCATCATCAGCAGCAGCATCAGCATGATCGTCATCATCATCAACAACACCATCAACAGCCACAATAACACCAACAACAACCACAACAACGACGACGACGACAACGAACCACGACGGTCCCCTCCCCCATTCCTGCCGCTCATCCCGTTCGCATCATCATCATCATCATCATCATCATCATCATCATCATCATCATCATCATCATCATCATCATAACCAATACACTCATCCTCACCACCATCCGCATCGCCGTCACTGTCGCCATCGCCACAACCACCATCACTATAACTATCCTCCTCCTCCTCTTCTCCCTCCTCCTCCTCCTCCTCCCCCTCCTCCTCCTCTTCCTCCTCATCCTCATCCTCCTCCCCCGACACACTAACTCACTGATGGCAAAACAGTCGTCTGGCGCAGTTCCCCTCAGGACCGGTCAGCCCTTGGGGGGATGGTCAAACTACTATGCCTGGCGAATAGTATTGCTGCCCAGTGGAAAAACATATTACAAGGTACAAGACCGCACGCGCACGATGGGATAACTTGAGAAACGGGGCGGGAATCATTACCTCAAGAAAGGGAGGAGGAGGAGGAGGAGGAGGAGGAGGAGGAGGAGGAGGAGGAGGAGGAGGAGGAGGAGGAGGAGGAGGGGAGGGGGAAGGGGGGGTGGGAGTAGCGGCATGCGGTGGGACATGGCGGGAGGGCGCGAGGCCGAGGCTGCCGCGGCGCGAGGCCGAGGCCGAGGCCGAGGCCTGTGCCCCTGCTCAAAGGGAACCCCCCCACGGGCGCCCACCAGTCCTGCGACCAGGGACCCGCGCCCGCGGCGGAGCAGGCGCAGGGTCGCCGCGCACCGGGGAGGTGTGCGCGTTCCGTGGCGGTAGCCCCACTGTAGGCCTTCCCCGCATTTCCGCCGCTCCCTCGCTTTCACTGCGCCAGCAGGTTTACCACCCGTGGACTCGCACATATGTTAGACTCCTTGGTCCGTGTTTCGAGGCGGGTCGAATAGAACCATTTAGTCATCGTCTTTGTGTCTGGGAAATGCCCAAGTCACCCAGGTCCCCCGCCAGTGGCAACCCAAGACGAGCTTCCAAAATGCCAAGGACACTGCAACCAGACACGAACGAAACAGTCCGCAAATGAGTTCTGCCAAGGCTATTCACTCACCCGCAGACGAGCTACCACGACCTCCCCATCACACCGCCCCCCCCCATTCAAAAGTCGGCGCCTGTCGGCGATCGGAGGCTGTGCAAAGCGGGCGAAGCTGGACACGTGCGGCCAGACCCTGGGCGGAGTTGAAACGACAAAAGCGGTGGGCTGAGGCTGCGGCAAGCAAGAGTTGGAAGATCCCTGTGCAAACGCTGGGGAACAGGTTGAGGTGTGAGGCCAGAAGGACGCACCCTGCAGCAGTGAGAGTGCATGCGGCATAGGTGGGAGCAAGCGTGCACGCAACGAACCCCACTGGCCGTAGCCAAGGGCGGCATCTAGTGTCTTTGCCCTCACCACCACCACCGTGGGGACCGCTCACCAGCTGTGGCGTCGAGGTAGCGGTAACGGAGGGCGGCTGTGTGGTCTGCTGACGGCTGCATGCTGCAACAACTGGTCGGCTGACGATAGCTGGTGCCGCGGCCGCCGTAGCCATTGCCAGGACGGCCCTCGGTGAGCTCCCCTTGTCTACCCTCCCCCATGCCTGAGCACCAGCCCATTCCGTCCCACAAAAGTGGTGAAGGAGTGGGTTAGTTGGGAGGGAAGGGGAAGGAACAATATAGAAGGGGGAGGCCAGTGGGGAGTGTAAGGTTGGGCGAGAACTCTCAGTGGCCTCCTCCATTCCTTCTCCTCATAAAACTTATGAATAACTTCTCCCTGTCGCGCCCCGAGGCCAGTCCTTAGGGCGGACCGGGCGTTTCGCCTGAGAATTCCTCACCATTTATGACCCTGAAACCTCAACATCGGCAACAGTTTCACTGATTGAGGGCGGGTCGTTTTCAAAATGTGGCTCTCGCCTTAGCGCCGCGCACATTCGTTTTAAACATTTGAAAGACTTGCACGGGTTGTTGGCGGGTCATTTTCAACATGTGGCTCTCGCCTTAGCGCCGCGCACATTCGTTTAAAACGGAACACGAGTTTCACGGATTGAGGACGGGTGGTTTCCAAAATGTCGCTCTAACCTTAGTGCCGCGCCAATTCGTTCTAACAATTTGCAGAATTTCACGGATTGAGGGCGGGTGGTTTTCAACATATGACTCTCGCCTTAGCGCCGCGCACATTCGTTTTAACAACTTGCAAGAGTTTCAGGGATTGAGGGCGGTCGTTTTCAAAATGTGGCTCTCGCCTTAGCGCCTCGTCAAGACGCACCAGTCAGGTTCATCCGTGGCGCTGGAATACCATGAATCATGTTTTGGCATGCTTCAGGGTGTTCAAACGATTGTCTTCCAACGGGGCAGGTCCTTTTGTGGAAATGAACCGTTGTAGGGGCCTATGAAGAGGGAGCTTGGGGGGAGGGTTTATTCCAACATCGTTGGCAACTCTTGGGATTACACTGGTCCTCCTCCTCCTCCTCCTCCTCCACCTCGTCATCCTCATTCTCATCCTCATCCTCACCACCACCAAAATCATCATCATCCTCATCCTCATCCTCGTCCTCATCCTCTCCCCGTCCTCTTCCACCAGGAAGACGTAAAAAGACGGCGAAGGGGCCCTGTCCTGCGACTCCTTCCCGTACGTCCACGCCACGCAGCCCGACGCGTCCGCGCACCGCGCGCAGCACTGGTCCGCGCCCGCCACACCCTGCTCCTCAGGGAGGGGGGGCAAAACGTCCTCCAGTAAACCTCGCTACCCGAATGAATATCATGTGCCGATCCCCCCAGCGTTCCCACTAACACTCAAATTAATCCCATCAATCACTGAGGGGGGCCAACGAGCGATATCGTTCGGCACCCCCCAAGCAAGGTGCTACGCTTGAGTCCCTGGGTTCGACCATCAAGACCCAAGGTTATCAGCAACACTGCAGAAACATGAGCTGTCGGAGGTCCGCGTGGGTTTCTGGGATCTGCGCTAAGACTCCCCTGGCGGTGCCTCTGGCGCTGCTCCTGGCGCGCTTCGCGCGCTGGGGAGGGGGGCCCAGCGGCGATCCAAGGAACTCGTGCGGACCTCAAACGGTCTCATGTCCACGCCGTTTCAGTTTGCTTCGATCCAAGGCGACGTACCCCCAGTGAGGCTCGGAGGGGAGCCAATCAAGACAACTTCTGGGACTCATGGAGGCTTCACGTCGCCACGGCTGGGTCCGCCCCGAAAAACACGTCAGGATGGACCCGGCGAGGGGTCCGGGGACCGATGTTGAGCGGCTTTGGTCCAGGCGGGAGAGCCGCTAGTGTCAACTGGCCCCCCTCCGGGAGGCGTCGCTGGAGGCCTCCCAAGTCGCTCATCCCGACATCCCCGAAACCCCAAACATCTGCTCCCCTTGGTGGCGCATCGCCTTTACTTCCACCCGTCTTCCCGCAGGTTTTCGCCGACGGAGGTGCTCTCGTTGGACCTGTGCCACCCTCCGACGGCCTTCCGCGGACCTCCGCAGAGGAAGCGATGCCAGCTTTTCGGATCCCTCGAAGGCGAGGCACCACTTGGAGCGCCCCAAATGGGGTCAGAGCCAGGGCTCGACCGAAACAGTGTTTGTTCCGCGTTCGTTTTGTTTTCGTTGTCCCTCGTTCTGTCTTCGTTTTGCCTTTGCTGCAGAACGGAATCAGAACGAGATCACTAAAACGCTGTTTGGGCCGAGCCCCAGTCAGAGCAAGTGGTGTGGGAGAGCCGCACCGCATCGCCGAGGCATCGGCGATGGTGGGGCGGAGGATGCTGCCAGGAACTGTTGCCTAGGGGTGTCGTGGCGGCGGCCCCAGTCTGTTTCGCGGGGCGGGAGGCGGGACAGAGATAGGGTGACGAGACCAACACAGATCCACCGTACATGCCCGGCCCAAGCTGGGCCCAGGAGCGGCGTATCTGCTTACCTGGCCAGGCCAGGCAGGCGTACGCACAGCCCCTGGACCCACGAAGGGCCAAGCCTTTGGAAGTGGACACGTATAGATCTCGTCGCCCACAGAGCTCCAGACGTTTTGGACGCCCGAAATGGGTACGGAAACAACGGGTACAATGTCCAACAACAAGTGTTGTCCCAAACCAACAGCGGCCGCTGTTGGGCAGGCGGCCTTTTGTCTGGAATGGACACAGGCAGCGGCGGCGTGGACAGCGAATCCTGTTCAAAATGAACAGGAACTGCTGTTGGGCATCGTACCCATTCTTTCCGTGCCCATTTCGGGCGTCCAGAGACGTGGCTCGCGCGTCGCGCCGAAGGCGTGGTGGGCCAGCACCGGCGGCGCGGCGCGCCAAGCAGCCGCCCCTGACCGCAACGGGCCGCAGATCGCGCCGCATATCGCCCGTGTGTCGGCGACGTCTCGCAGGGCGCGCGAGGCGGGGAGTTATCCGCATCCACCGCCTGGGAACTGCTGTCCTGGGAACCCAGGAGACGGTGGATATGGATGTAGTTTGACCCCAAGGGTCCCGAATATATAGAATATATATATATATATGAATATTTATATATGTATATCTATATATGTTTACATATGTATACACATACACACATACATACATCTATATATCTATATATATATAAATCCGCCGCCTCCCGAGGTCAGTGTGCGCCAAGGCCTGGGAGCCCTCTCCGAAATGCTCCCGCTCTGGGGTGACTTGTTGGGCCTCCCATGAGCTCCGCCACCCCGAGGTCGTTGCCCGGGTAGTAAGTGTCCTCCTGTCGCCGCGCGGCGTCGTCGCCGCCGCCGTCGCCGCGGTCGTCGCCGTCGCCGTCGCCGTCGCAGTCGCCGTCGCCGTCGTCGTTGTCGTCGTAGTCGTGTTGGTCGTCCGAGTTGCCGCCGTCACCGCGGCCCCCGACGCCGCCGCTGTCGGCGTCGGCGTCGGCGTCGTCGGCGTCGGTCGGGGTCGCCGTCGTCGTCGGCGTCGGCGTCGGCGTCGTCGTCGTCGGCGTCGGCGTCGGCGTCGTCGGCGTCGGCGTCGGCGTCGTCGGCGTCGGCGTCGGCGTCGTCGGCGTCGGCGTCGGCGTCGTCGGCGTCGGCGTCGGCGTCGGCGTCGGCGTCGGCGTCGTCGCTCGCGGCGCGCGGCGAGCCAGCGCCAGGGTCGCCGCCTGTTCCCCCCTTGGGTTGTGCTGTGCTTTCGTGGTACTGCCTACGTCCTATTATGCGGAGTGCCCGTACTTCCAGCATCGGTATCGTGAGTATGTGCTCTTCTTGTTTTCATTGTTCACAGTAGTGCTATCTGTCATCTTCGGTTTCGGCAGCATGGTATGCTGAATCGTATCTGATTGCCAATTTCTACGATGGTTAAATAATGTATCTTCTTCCTCCTCCTCCTCCTTTTTTCCCTGCGATGAACGGGCGATTGGGGGTCGATGCATCCCCCCCTGGGCCTATCCCCCCTGACATTGCACCTGAGATCCCCCCTCCTAGCCCTGATGCTCCTCCTACTGGTCCTCCTCCGCCGTTGTTTGCGTTGGGCGGGCATAGGCAATGAAGCCGAAGCGTCAGCGTGCTCGGAGCAGATGCCCGCCACGCGGTACCCGAGGGAGCGAGGAAGGTCAAATCGATAAGAATAACAATCACATGGTAAACCGGAAGTTTGACATAACGACACCGAACGACTGAGAGGACGAAACACACATGCAAAAGAAAAGGCTGCCTGCTACGTGCTGTAGTCTCTGATTACTCGTAGTCCTATGAAGGACCACAGGGGTAAGCTAGGCAGCTGGCTGACTTTGTGGCCTGTAATGGCTGTGGGCTGGCACATATTGTACTGGCTGGCGACGTTTAGGATTAAGCAGAGAAAAAGAGAAGCAGGCGGCCGTGTACAGAAGGGTTTCGAAGCGTCGTCCGAGCATCATACCTAACCACCTTGATCAGATGGCCACTGTAGCATCACGTAGGGCTGACCTGGGCGAACTGGATTGAGTCATGGTGTCGGCTAGGTAATGGAAAAGGTCCTCCTCCTGCTCCTCCTCCTCCTCCTCCTCCTCCTCCTCCTCCTCCTCCTCCTCCTACTCCTCCTCCTCCTCCTGCTCCTCCTGCACGTCCCCAGGCCTCCGTCAACGTGATCTGTTTATCTGTTTGGCAACGCGGACCCAAAGACGATCTGGACCCCTCCCCCGCGACTGGGTTTCATCCCGAGTCTTTTCGTTGACAGGGCCCGGCGAGGGTCCCCGGAGCCCAAAAATTGCGAAACATAGTCCGTCGTGACGCGAGGATGTCTGGGTCCTCGTCCTCCTCCTCCTCCTCCTCCTCCTCCTCCTCTTCCTCCTCCTCCTCTTCCTCCTCGTGCTCCTGTGACTGCTCCTCCTCCCCCCATCTTCCTTCTAGATGAAGCCTCCCTGTCGCACCCTCAGACGTGTCGGTAGGGTGGGCCAGGCGTTTTGCCTAAGACGGCCTCACCATGTACATTCCTGAAGCCTGAAAATTGCAACTGGTTCGAGGACAGAGGACGGAAACAATCAAAACGTGTGCTCTCGCCTTAGCACCGCGCACATTCGTCTTAAAAGCTTGCAACATATTCAAATGTTGAGAGCAGCTCATTTCCAAAATGTGGCTCTCGCATTAGTTCCACGCACATTCGGGCTAAACGTTCGCAACAGTTCCAAGGATGCAGGGCGGTTCCTTTTCAAAACGTGGCTCTCGCCGTAGCGCTTCGCACACTCGCCTTGAAATGTTGTAACAACTTTATGGGTTCGTATGGTTGATGCCCCAGGAATTGCGTTCTGGCACGACGTTGGACTGTCAAGACGCAACAGTCGCGTTGATTCGTGGCGTTGAAGCTCCAAGAACTCGATTCTGGATTCTCAGACACATATGAAAAGAGAGAAGTTGGAGGGCGAGTCTATTGCAACATCGCTGCTGCGTCCTGGGTTGACACTGGTCCTCCTCCTCCTCCTCTTCCTCCTCCTCCTCCTTCGTATCCTCATCCTCATCCTCATCCTCATCCTCATCCTGCTGCTGCTGCTGCTGCTCCTCCTCATCCTCCTCATCCTCCTCATCCTCCTCCTGCTCCTCTAAAGGAAGACAAAGCGCCAGACTCATGTGCGGACTTCTTGGATCTGCGCTGGACCCCCTCCCTGGCGCGGGGAGCGCGCCAGGGGCGGCGCCGGAGGCGCCGCCGGGGGGCCCAGCGCGGATCCAAGAAATCCGCGCAGAGCGGCCGAATTTTATGTTTATCCGTTTTTTCTTCTTCGATCCTCCTCCTCCTCCTCCCTCCTCCTCCCCCTCCTCCTCCTCCTTTTCTTCCTCCTGGCCCTCCTCCTGGCCCCCATCCCCCTTCCCCTCGGCCCTCCTCCTCCTCCTCCTCCCCCCTCCTCCTCCTCCCCTCCTCCTCCTCCTCCTCCTCCTCCTCCTCCTCCTCCTCCTCCTCCTCCTCCTCCTCCCCCTCCTCCCCCTCCTCCTCCTCCTCCTCGCCCCCTCCCTTGAGCAGGGACCGACCGTCCCGCATTCCTATAGTCCTACCACGAAATGCTCGAAACACAAAAACAAGGTTCTTAGAACATGAACCCGATGTGTTAAAACAAGACAGTCCCAGCAAGAAATGTTCTAAGAACATTTCGTGGAAACCACAAAAGGTTCTTAGAACATTGTTTGGTAGGACTATAGGCACGCCAGGACGCTTCGCCACTGCTTGACCTCCCCCCTCCCCCTCGGGCCCCACGCGCCCGCCCCGTCCTCCACCCAGCCGCACCGCGCCGCCCCCGGCGGGGCCCCTGCCGCCGTCGCGGGCGCGGGTGGAGGCAGCTCCTCCTTAGGGGGGGGGGGCCGCGCCGGCCGTGCGCCGATCACCGGCCCTGGCCTGCTGCACCTTTTCAAGAGAGGAGGAGGAGGAAGAGGAGGAGGAGGAGGAGGAGGAGGAGGAGGAGGAGGACCAGTGGAAACCCAAGAGTCATCAACGATGTTGGAACTAACACTCCCTTCAAGCCCCCTCTTCATAGGCCCCCATAACGGTTCATCTCCATTGAGGGAACTGCCTGGTTGGAAGACAACAGTTTGAAGATCCTGAAGCGTGCCAAAACATTGTTCTCTGGAGGAGGAGGAGGAGGAGGAGGAGGAGGAGGAGGAGGCGGAGGCGGAGGTGGCCCTTGGTGCACGGCCTACAGATCGACGCGTGCGAGGGGGCAGTGGCGGCCCGCGTGCGCATGGTTGCCGCTGACCGTCCCCCGAAGCGCCCCCCCGAGATTGGCGGACGAAGAGTGGTGTGCGATAACTCTGTCCGCCATCGGGGAAGCCTGTCGCAGGGCGGCTGGAAAATGTACACCCCCGCGTGCCGCCGCAGGGGTTTAACTTTCCAGCCGCCATGCGACAGGAGTCTCCGAAGGGGCGGAAAAGACATAGAGTGACGCTCTTCTTGTGCTACAACAACAGCCGCGCACCAAAGGCCAGTCTGGCCAAGGGCTGCTTACGCGTAGCCGCCGTCTGTACACCGACATGCCCTGGGTCCGCGACCGCGGGCCCTGGCATCGGTGGAGACTCCCGGGCACGCGCCTACACTACGGATCCCTGGAGCTGGCGCGTGGGCTGGGAAAAAATGTGCTCAACCCCCGAAGCATGAAGCCGATGCCGCCCGGTCAGGCGACGGCGCCCGCCGAGTACGTTGAGGTCGGGCATGTCCCCCTACAGGCGGATTGTTAGGGAAAAACAAATCAAGAAATGCCAAACCAAAATTCAAAAATAATCGAAACTCGTCCCCAGGCGATTTTCTTACCATTTTCCCGATTCCTCCTGTAGAGGGACACGCCCGACTGGGAAGTATGGACACCGAACCCATCGCCAAGCCACGCGCCCCAAAAATCATGGACAGCGCTTCCTCGAGGCCTGGCGGCGCGCAGCGGCGGGGCCCGGGCGAGGGGGCAGCCCCCCCGAGCCAGCAGAACGGCCAGGGGAGCTCGCGGGCAGGGGACCGGCCGCTCCAGAGGAGACAAGACAGAGTAGATCCAGATAATTGGCCCACAGAGCGTCAAATTACGAACCAGGGAGCCAAGAATAAAGTATGTATGAATCATGATGTTGCAGAATTCGTTATTTTCATATGCTTTTGGAGAATCTTCCGAAAGAGATGCAGGTATACTATGACAAGGCCTTCGGGAGCGGTGCCTCCTCAACCCGAGGGCCACAGGGCGCGCGCAGGGCGACGGCGGAGCAGGAGGAGAGGAAGCGCTGGGCGCCGCCACCGCAGGCGAACGAATGCCCCGCTGCGGGGAGCTTTTTTACGCGCCTGCCCCAGGTGCAGCGGCGCGACGCCGCTGGCTCTGACTCCGCTGTGGGCTCCTCCTCCTCCTCCTCCACCTCCTCCTCCTCGTCCTCCTCCTCGTCCTCCTCTCCTCCTCCTCCTCCTCTTCCTCCACCTCCTCCTCCTCCTCCTCCCCCCCCTCCCTCTCCCCCCTCCCAGGATGGGCAACGTCAGGGGCGATAGGTCAAGGGCTTGCCTCCTCCACGGATCCCTCTCCCGTCGCCCGGGCCAGCACCCCCGCCTCGAGCGCCGCCGAGACGTGCGCCCTGCTGGCCACGGCAGGCCGGCCACGACGGCATGAGCTCCCCTGCCTCCTGCCGCCAGGTTCGCCCTTCGGCCTCAACCGATCCTGCCGCCGCCCCGAGGCCCTCCACACGGAGCGCCCCTGCCCGCGCGCAAGGCGCCACCCTGGCGCAGGCCCGTGGAGGGCGTGCGCGCCCGGGGGGGGGCCACCCGCCTGGTCCGGAGCTCGGGAGCGGCCAAGAGGGGGGTGTCCAAGAGGGGGGGGGGCCGGCGGCATGTGCACGGCCCAGCGGGGGTGTCCAAGAGCGGCCCAGCGGGGGGGCCAGGGACGCAATGAAATAAGAAGAGGCGCCATGAAATCTGGGGAAAAATCATGGCCCCCGCCATGATTATCCACCCCCCCCCAGTCATCACCCCCCTCTTTGCCGGCCCCGAGAAGCCGCTCAAGGTCGGCCCCCGACCCCTTCCGGGACCCATCCTGGCCAGCTCTGCGAGGCGCGGCGGGCTGCGGCGACGAGCCGCCCCCAGGGGGGCCCCAGGAGGCGCACGACAGAAGCCAGGGAGGGCAGCCGCTGTCTCGGCGGGCCCTCCTCCGCTCTTGGAGGCCCTCCCAGTGGGGTCCGAGCAAGTGGGGTCGGAAGATCACGCCACATCGCCGATGCATCGCCGGCGCGTTGGCGACGTGGGCGAGGCATCGGCGCAGTCGGCGTCGAGAGGGTCGGCCTCCACATCGAGCCGCCTCGCCGATGCATCAGCGGTGCGGCGCGATCCTCCGACCACATCTGCCCGGACCCCACGTGGGAGGCCTGGAGATGTGCACCGACCAGGGGCCCAGGATTTGGTGCCAGTGCACGGTCGGCGCCCCCCCCGATTCGGGCACAGGCTGACACGGACTAATGCGGGATGACGATTCATAAAAAAATGGGAGAGAACGATTAAAACATAGTTTTCTGCTATTTCTGCACAACTTTCTGACTGGAGGAGGACGATCGAAAAATAGGTTTCCAGCCCGCGGCCGGTTTTTTCTAATCGTCATCCCAGGCGCCGCCGCGTGAACACGACCCCCGGTCATTTATTAACCGTCATCCTCCATTACTCGGGAGCGGCCAAGAGGGGGGTGTCCAAGAGGGGGGGGTGCAAATCATGACCGGCGGCATGTGCGCGGCCCAGCGGGGGGGCCAGGGACGAATGAAATAAGAAGAGGCGCCATGAAATCTGGGGAAATATCATGGCCCCCGCCATGATATCCACCCCCCCCTAGTCATCACCCCCCTCTTTTCCGCCCCCGAATTACGGATCTGCGGATCTGGCGCGCGAGCACCAGATCCACGGGTCGGGGGCAGCGCAACCCGCATCATGAGGCCCGTGCCGCCCGACGTGGCGACGGAGCGCGCTGCCTCTGTGAGGAAGCGGCGCCCGGTCGCTGATCCACGTGCCTCAATACTTTGGGCGCCCGAAATGGGTACGTAAAGAATGGGCACTATGCCCAACAACAAATGCTGTCCCAAGCCAAC